ACTCGCGCGCCATCGCCAGCGTCGGTGGCCAGCTCGAGGTGCTCTCGTTCGACCACAAACCCAACAACAAGACAGAGGTGGAACGGATCACCGCCGCCGGCGGCTGGGTGGAAGGCAACCGCGTCAACGGCAACCTGGCCCTGTCGCGCGCGCTTGGCGACTTCATCTTCAAACGGAACGAGGAGAAGACCCCCGAGGAACAGGTGGTGACAGGTCAGTCATGTGACGAATGGTGATATGATAGTGCAGTGGTGACGGGTGTTGGGTGGTGACAGGTCAGGTCAGTCATGGTAACGGCTGGTGATAGTGCAGTGGGGTTTGTAGTCATTGGTGCATGAGTAGTGAGGGTGACAAGTCAGTGATGTCAGGTAGTGGCATGTCAAGAGTGTCAGCTGTTGATTTGTATTTAGGCCGAGCGCTCATAGCTTCTGGTGGGGGAGGGAACGGGGTGGCGTTTGGAGCGGTGGATTTAGAAGGCTAGAACGCTTGGTGGGATCGCCGTTGTGGAGGTCTGAAGGATTTGAAGGCGATGGGAGTAAAGGGACTTGTCTCGGTCCGGGAGCCCGCAGAGCGACCTTGCGTGTCTGTATACGGGTGCGGGCACGCTCGCGCGGCGTGGCGCCGATCTGTTTATACAGCACCACCTTTTTCGGATCGTACCACGGTCAGTCTGTCGCCTCTGCCCGTCGCCACGGCCGCTATTTCCGCATTGTATTCCTGGCTGATGTTCTCCGGTTTTTATCCGGGGCCCGGCACAGTGGCGGGACTCCTACCAAATGTTGTCGCCCGTCGCTTTTGATTTTTTTTCTTCTTCATATATATTATATTTCATGACACATGACATGAGATGCAGACAACGACGAAACGCACAACGTTTCCAAACTCCCACTTCTCCCCACACAACACATTCCCACCGATCTCGCTCGCGGCGGGCTCAATTGCGGACTCAAGTCGCTTACAATTATGTCTTAGGCGAAACCATGTGAAAAATATATTCCTCTTATGCTTATTTGCTCACGTAAGGAACATAGCTCGGAGCCATAATGCCAATTTTCTATCCGGTTAGGCATCACCTTCGAGCATGCCTAAAAGCGTTGGGAATGGCTAGTGCTACTGAACTGGCATAAATCGGGGACAGGTTTGCTGCCATTGACTCATCATGCGGATGCCTTGAGAGTAACCCGTATGTAGGTCACTGGTTACGACCGTACGATATATTGGTACGCGTCATGCTGGTACATGTTAGTCGTCTTGGAGTTCCCATTAATCTTTGAAAGTTGGAAAAACAAATATTCAGCGTCTAGAGCCCCTTATTAATCATTCAAAGGTAAAAGCCATCGGTAATCTATATGTGGTAGCTGGAACGCGCCTTTTATTTATTTGGAGATGTGGTACCTAACCCTAACGTGTGTCAATGAGGTAGCTAACGTGCGTGAAGTTTGTTCACTCTGAGGAAAAGATTTTGGAATGGTGCGAAAGGCCATTGCATTGGAATCCAAGGAAATGCGTAAAAACCGTCCCCATACTGCAAGACACTACATCATCATGTAGAATATCGTTGCATGACATGACTTGTCCTTTCTGAAAAAAATATCTGAGCGTCGTTGAACTGTAGGCGCGCTGATCATTTTGGCGTGAGCTGCATGCTGAATATTTTTTAGTTCAAGTTCAACAAAAGTTCACAGTTGCCTACATTCATTTTTGTTTTGTGATGTTTTCGTTTGTGTGATTTTGAAGTTTTTGTTTTGCCTTTTTATTTGCCTCAAATCAGAAGTCAAAATTGATTTTGTTTTGTGGAATGTCCACTTAAGTTGAATAGTAAAGTACATCAAAATATTCGAAATGCATCTCCAGATTTTCGTTATTTTGTGTTTGGCTATTGCAAGCTGCCATGCAAGGGCATTACACGTGATTCAGAATGAATCTGTTCCTGTGAAGCCTGAGACCACCCCCGAGTCATCCAATGTCGATGCCGCAAGCAAAGAGACGCCACGTCCCAAAGTATACATGCGCGTTATCAACAGCGCCAACGAGCGTAAGCGCCGGTCGCTTCCCGAATACCACAGCAGGGTGGTTCCCCATTATCGGGAAAGTATCCGAGTGAGGGCACCTGAGGCAGTCCACCCAGTTCCCGTGCACTTGCAACTGAATGATGCAGTGGAAGGTTCTTTGCATCACAGCGGAGGACATTCGGGCTTTAAGCCGTTAGCACTGCCGGGTGGTGATGAAGATCTTGAAGATCAGCCGAGCTTTTTTGAGGACGATGAAGATGACGCTGGCCACGAGGATCTCGGTCATCATGTCATCGGTGAGGATGAGCACCATCCTGCTGGTCACCACGTGGATCATCACCATGCCGATGAGCATCACTCTGGTGAGCACCATGTGGATCATTTTGCGGATGATCCCCATGCGGATGATCATTCTGATCATGTCAGCGAGGAAGACGAGAATGAAGAGCATGAAGATGAGGAGCATGATGACGAAGAGGATATAGAGCAGGAGGAGGAGGAGGAGGAGCAGGAGCATGAGGATGATGAACATGAAGACGAGGAGCATGATGATGAACATGAAGACGAGGAGCATGAGGATGATGAACATGAAGACGAGGAGCATGAGGATGATGAAGAGGAGAAAGAGGAGGACAAATAAGTGCGCGCGCTGCTTTCTGGCAATTGTATCTTTTGACAAGTACTGTTCTATGATGCGATGTTACGTACAGTGATTTTTTCTTCAATATCATTTAAATTTTCTGATGTTATGAAGTACAGTACGATTTTGGTGGCAGCTTGTGCACTTCTTTTTCTCACTTACTGATCATTATTTTTGCATGTAGGATGTGCCTGATAACATTACCAATACACCATACGTAGCTTACATGTATGTTTAATACAATGCAATTTATATCGCAGATTTATCTCGCTGTTCGCCAGCATTACATGCGTATGTGTAGTTCACAGCGAAATAGGGTCACGCGGTGCCTGATCGAAGTTCCTATTAATCCATTGCGACTTGATTGCGACTTATCTCCCGTGGGGGAGAGGGGGGGGGGGCACACCATACGTATTTTGCTCGTATTTTACTCGTATTTTGTCCCGCTTATATTTATCTATAAACCCAGTTGACAGCTGGAGAGGGAAAACCGCCGGGGGGGGGGGGGGGGGCAGAGAGTCGCCAAGGACATGCGGGGCGGAACTGTAATGGAAGATGGTACGGTTCGTAGTGCATGTCATACGATAACTTGGCGAGGGATACATCGACTTAGCTACATACAACATGCATATGAGAAGTGAGTGTGATAAATAAATTTGATATAAGCACATGCAAGATGTTAAAAAATGGGGCGACTTTTTGTAACCGCGTTTGACCTCAATTTGGTTAGACCAACACTCTACAGTGTAATGTGTTGCATTCGAATCGTCCAGTCCAGGAACACTATTGCTAGGGACTTCGGCATGAGTTGTTCAATTGAATCGATGAGTTCCTTACTGATCTGGGACAAAAGTGATAATAATAAAGAAGAATATTTTGTTATAATGATGTACCTCAGTCCACTCGATTCAGACGTTTTGTTCAATAGAGGATTGTAGTTATTGGTGCTCCCAGTGCCGGATTCGGGGCTCATTGTGTTGGCGGCAGCCGTTGGCCAAGGCCACCACCAGTCCGTCGTCCCTCAGCTGCTCCGGTCATGGGCAAATGTTGTCGGTTAGTCGCCGAGGGCTCCGGACAGCCGAGGGCATCTGACTGAGCAAGGCGTGGGCACTTGTAGGGACGCCTGTCAGTGCCGTTATTGTAGGGACGGCTGTCAGTGCCGTCCCTGCAGACTATGCAGCGGGCAGCGAGACACGCCCAGCAATTTCGCTGCTTGCAGTGCTGCCTGATGTCCTCATCGCAGTGTCGTCTCGATATGGCCTTAACTCTCAGCCCTATGTTAGCATCGTGTCCGTTAGCTGAGCGACTGTACCTTGTCGTTCCTAATGCTGGTTTGAATGTTCTGGTGTCCTGTGTGTTTTGGGTTTGTGTGCAGTGTCGTGTTTTTGCTTATCCTTTTGGTACGGCACCGCACGCTGTGCTGGCGGTAAGAGCTGTTATACGACTACCCGGTACCCCGTCGGTTACCCGTGTCCGCACTGCTCTAACTACTTATATCCTTCCTCCGCAGCGTACCCTGACGTGGAGACTCGCAACATCACCAAGGACTGGGAGTTCATCGTCATGGCCTGCGACGGCATCTGGGACGTGCTGACCAATCAGGTGAGATCACGCTGCCTCCTCGTCCTTTTCATTGGAAGCATGCCATTGAACTTGCAAGATATATAACCCCGTCTATTATTTCGCTACATTCTGTCCAGAAGAGTCCAGAAGTTACCCGCTATTCTGTCTACAGGAAGCTCTCCTGTAGCTCCATTCGTTTCACTAAACTTGTCGCCATATCAGGACGTGTCTCTACTTGACCCCACCTTTTTTGACGTGTCCTTAGGTGACAATGAGAGAAGAGGTCCCATCTGACCCCACCCTCGCCGCTGTGTCCAGATGTGGCCCCTGTCTGACCCCATCCCCGCTTCTGTCTGTACAGGAGGTGCTGGAGTTTGTACGGACCCGGATCGGCCAGAACATGGAGCCGGAGGACGTGTGTGAGGAGCTGATGACCCGCTGCCTGGCGCCCGACTGTCAGATGGGCGGCCTCGGCTGCGACAACATGACGGTGGTGCTGATCTGCCTGACGCCGGGCGGCTCGTACTCTGAGCTGGTGGCTCGCTGCGCTCAGCCGCTGCCGCCGGGCGCCGCCACCGCCGCCGCCGGCGACTCCGACACCGAGGAGGACACCAACTGCCTGCTGTAGCGGGCTGCAGCGGTTCGTATTGCAGACCAACGCCGGGCCGAAGAGCTGGCAAGCGCCGCAGGACGGACGGCTGGTGAGGGTACACTGCTGGGGATGGGTGAGCGCCCGACCGGTGTGTCCTAATCGCTGCGTCTGCGAGAGAGGTGTGAGGGGCCTATTAGACACGAGGACCAGCGGCCACAAAGCGACGCTTCTGACTGGGAGCGGCCGCCGCCCGGCCGACGCTGGGGCCACGAGTGAGAGTGAGAGGGGTCACCTGAGTGGGTCAACCCCGGACAAAAGGGTCACCCGACTGTCCATCAGTTGAGGACAGAACCGCGTGGCCAACCGTGATGCGGCAGAACAGTGTGATTGAAGAAAGTGTGCCAGAGTCGTATAAATGAAGCTCTAGTCAGCTGGAAAATTAACGTTACCTGACTAGATGCGTGCCCGGCTGTTGGATAACTCAACTGGTGCATATTATTGATTCATAATCGTTCGTTGATTTGTTAAGTTATTGTTGGACGTTGTCCGCCATCCGAGCCGAAGGAGCTGGTTCAGCCCGTGTTCATTTCGCTGAAATTTCCGTCGATAGTCACACATTGTGCGTTACTCATGTAGGGTTCATGTATCGGGTTTGGCGAGCGACCAACTATAGTGTTATTACCGAACTGGGTGGCTCGGGATGCAATCAGATATAGTTCGAGTTAGCGTTGTGTATGGAGTTGTACTGGGGATGGGACCCGTGCGTGCGGGGGGCGCCGAGACCTGACAGTGAGAGCGTTGTTGGGACCGGACCGTCACAGATTGGCTAAGTTCGTTTTGGGCGGACGAGCGCGCTGCTGATACCGAACTGTCGGACCGTGAAGGCGCAATGGGACGGGACCGTCGGACTGTGAGGGCGCCGCTGAGGTCTGACTGAGAGGTTTATTCAGCCGAGGGTGTTTGCGAGACCGGTAGACCCGTCGGGGCTGAGCGAAGCGTCGCTGGTGGGTGTTACGGTCGGAATCACGGCGGCTGACCTAGAGCACGGAACAGGTCCAGTCAGCCGTTGTCGGTATCCGTCGCAACATGCGCTGGGGATTCGTCACCGTCCGCAGCGGACCCCCAGAGATCACAGCGCCGCGTCCTGCCGTGGTGCACAGCGCCGACTGATGGACACACTGGCGACATGGCGCCGGTGTGTCGAGTGCTGACCTGTGCGGGTCGATAGCGCGCCATCACCTCACCCTCATAGCGTGGCCGCCCGCGGACCATAGCGTGGCCGTCCGCGTTCCTAGCGGCGGCCTGGCCCACATCACATTCCTCGGAACAACCATCGGGTGGCGCGCAGGCCGAGCTATAGCCTAGCCGTGCTGTAGCTGTACCGGAGTACAGCAGTTCGGCTGTTGTCGCCTATTTTGTCAGTTGTTGAAATCTAATGAAGGGTTGATAAATGCTAAGTGTGTTAAGAGTGGGAAGCTGAGTGATCGTACTGAAGAAGCGGCGAATATGGCCGGTGATTTGAGTGATGCTTGTTCAGGCGTTCCGTGCACATGCTTGTTCAATGTGCAGGCTTTCATTGTAGCATCAGGAGTAGGATGAATGATTGAATTAACATGAGTGAAGTTAGAACAGAATTAGAGTAGGTAAACGATGCATTCTTCAACGACTATTTTATTTTAAACAGCCACATTCAATGCAGATACATCGTGAATAAACACAGTCTGATAGAACCGCTGAAAATCTTCTCATTTCTCACTGGACCGGCTTCAGATCCCAGCTGGGCGAGACAATGCTCGGCGAAGGTTTCCAAACTAACCGCATTACTTCCCCCGGCTCGTATCTGTGGAGGGAACGGGAAAACTACCCTGCACAGACCACTAAGAAAGCCGCTCGCAGCAATCATGGCAGCCTCTGAAACTGCTGTGCTGCATGCTCAGAAACATTTGTGCCCTATATTATTGTAGCTTCCGAAGCCGTAATTACCAAACTGACCTCCGGAGAAGGTGCCCCCAAGACTGCCGTAGCTTCCAAGATAGCTAGTTCCAAAACCATTGTAACCTCCGAGATATCCGTAGCTAGGTGCTAGATGTGCGCTTTGAGTGAGGACGTTGACGGGTGTCCTCCCAGGTTTAACTTGAGATACACCTCCGATTCAACCGTAGTACCCTCCAGAAACACCTCCGAAATTGCCTCCCAGAGAGCTGCTTCCAAAGCCACGGTAGCCGCCAAGAGCGCTGCTTCCGACTCCACCGTAACCGCTCAAAGAACTGCTTACAAATCCGCGGTAGCCAAGAGAGCTGCTTCCATGTCCACTGTAGCCGCCCAGAGAGCTGCTTTGAAAGCCACCGTCGCCGCCAAGAGATCCACTTCCAAAGCTGCCGTAGCCGGCCAGAGATCCAATTCCAAATCCACCGTAGCTAAGAGCACTGCTTCCAAGCCCACTGTAGCCGCCAAGGTATCCACTTCCAAAGCTACCGTAGCCGCTAAGGGACCCACTTCCAATGCCACCGTTGCCGGCCAGAGAGCTGCTTCCAAATCCACCGTAGCCAAGAGAGCTACCTCCAAATCCACCGTAGCCAAGAGAGCTACCTCCAAATCCACCGTAGCTGCCAAGAGATCCACTTCCGAAGCTACCGTAGACGCCGAGAGAGCTGCTTCCATGCTCACCGTAGCTGCCCAGAGATCCGGTTCCATGCCCACTGTAGCCACCGACAGAGCTGCTTCCAAATCCGCTACTGCCGACAATACCGCTGGTTCCACCGTAGCTGCCCAGAGATCCGCCTCCATATCCACCGTAGGCAAGAGATCCGGTTCCATATCCACCGTAGCTGCTTCCAACTCCGCCGTAGCCGTTCAGGGAGCCGCTCACCTGGCCACCATAGCCCGATGAGCCACTGAAACCTTCGCTGTGGCCTCCAAGGAAGGTATTCGCCAGCCCGCCAAAACCTCCCGAGCTGTAGGCCCCGTAGTTGCCTCCGAAGCCATTGTAGCCTCCGAGATATCCGTAAATGGGGGCCAGATGTGCGGTCTGAGTGAGGACGTTGACAGGCGTACCTGCGGGTTTTACGGTGGACACGCCTCCGATAACGCTGTGGTAGCCTCCCGATAGTCCTCCGAGAGAGCCACTCAAGGAGCTGCTTCCAAATCCACCGTAACCGGCCAGAGAGCTACTTCCAAATCTACCGTAGCCAAGAGAGCTGCTTCCAAATCCACCGAAACCGCTCAGAGATCCACTTCCATATCCGGAGTAACCGCCAATAGATCCACTTCCAAATCCACCGTGGCTGCCCAGAGAGCTGCTTCCAACTCCACCGTAGCCAAGAGAGCTGCTTCCATAACCACCGAAACCGCTCAGAGATCCACTTCCATGTCCGGAGTAACCGCCAGTAGATCCGCTTCCATAACCCCCGTAGCTTCCCAGAGAACTTACAAATCCACCATAGCTGCCCAGAGAGCTGCTTCCAAATCCACCGTAGCTGCCGAGAGAGCTGCTTCCAAATCCACCGTAGCTGCCCAGAGAGCTGCTTCCAAATCCACCGTAGCCGACCGAGCTTGATCCTAATCCACTGTAACCAACAGAGCTGCTCCCAAAACCACCGAAACCGCTCAAAGAGCTGCTTCCATATCCACCGAACCCATCGAGTGAATTGCTTCCCAATCCACTGTAGCCGGCAGTGGATCCACTTCCAAAGCTACCGCCCTGATATTTACTTCCGTAGCCTGCATAGCCTCCGAGGTAGCCGCCTCCCTGACTATTGTAGCCCCCGAGGAATCCTACGATGCTGCTCGAGCCACCGAAGTTGCCGTAGGCAGGCAACAGCAGCGCGCTCTGTGTGAAGATGTTGACCGGCTTCCCGTAGACGTTGACACTCGACCCGCCGCTGCCGTAGTGGGCTCCGAAGCTGCCGGAGGCTCCGTAGCCCGCCGCGCCGTAGCTTCCAGGTGCGGAGAAGCCTCTAGCGGTGACCAGTGTCGCCAAACAGAGAAGGAGCACCACCTGCAGGGGAGGGAAAGTGGAACGGGTCTCAGTGCGCTGCCAGCAGCGACAAGGTGCCGAAGACGTTTGCCAGCAATGAGACGTCGTCACTTTACGGACGCCGACTTCAATTATGATGTTATCGATCTTAGTTCAAATTTTGCCTATATCCAACTATTTATTTTACTCATGTTTGCTTTCTTCAGACATTGTCTTGCCTTCTGTAGATAACTGTCGAGTCGATTATTAATGATAAGGCATACCCTGACGCACTGTTAGACTATTTGCGTCCCATGCAGGTACGTCGCTCACCTGCATTTTGCTGTTTGGAGTTTCTGGGGAGTGCCGAGGCTGCACTGCTGCGCGCCGAACGGAGCCCTCGGGGCAGTGTTCCGATCCTAGCACCGTGAGTCGATGCTACTGATACAGTCAGGTCACTGGCAGCGACTCTTACTCGTATATGGGTGCTATAGCGGCATAGGCGCGGGAGCCGGGGGGGGCAGTGGGGGGCAGCTTGCCCCCCCCCCCCAACTCTAGGGCCGTGGGGGCGGTGCCCCCACAACTTTGAGACGAAATACTGCACTTTTTTTGCAAATGTTTTTCTTTTTTGTTGAAAAAGCCAAGGGATGAAAAATAAGTGGCCTAAAACCGGTGAGAAAACTAGATTTGGGGGTACCCTAGGTTCATCTCCATTATAGTGTGCCCCCCAGTCTGAAAGTAGTTCCCGCGCCTATGTATAGCGGCACGAGCAACGGTAGCGAAATGGTGCAATGTTCGCCTCAATCGACACATGCGTTAGCGGCCACGTCTGTGGCCAGCGTGGCTCAATTATCCCGCGCCGGAAAAATGCCCGCCTCCTTAGAATTTCCTCTTCTGTTCAGAAGTTGCATCAGAAACACACCGGAGATACGGGTGAAGCTCACGCGCACGGCCTGTGCACTATTTGCATTTGTGGCGTGCACACCTCATGCGACACGCACTCGAAAAAAGGAGGAAAATGCAAAACGGACCTAAAACAGACTTTCGCCGGTCGAACGGTGATCAAGTCCAACAAAAAAAAAAAACATTCAGCACTTATAAAGTTAAGATTTCAAGTAAAGAGGTTCATGTATCAGACATACACTGGTGGAGACGATCACCTCAGACACCTTCCTTCAAATGAGATCGGATTGCGAGATGAAAAGATTAGTCGGCAAAATCGTTATCATTTAGCGTTAAAAGTTGCCGTTCAAAGCTTGATTTCGTCAGCGACGCCTCCCCCATTCTTTCATGAACACGCAAAATAGATGGTTTGCATAATGAACCCTAGTACGAGGTGTGCGTTTGGTCGGGGGGGGGGAGGGTCAATAAATATTGATTTTACTACAGGTACCAGATCCCCTACGGAGACTGCAGCAAGGACTGCAGCACCAGTCGGCCGACCGTGACCGTTTCCATGGCGACCAAATAGCATGGTCAATGAGCGCTAGACTGCAGCTACGAGACCGGGTGCCGGTCAACTGTGGCATCCACATCATACAGTCACAGCAAGGTGTAAACGGTCACACATAGAGTCGGCGGTGAGGGTAGAACGACATCACATTTCAGACATATTCAACGTTCAACGCTCGTCGTTGGGGGCCGGTCCAGTAAGTACTTGGTGTACCGTCAGCACCGTCTATTATACGCTTGTCTATTCTCCGGCAAAGCCCACATTTGTGATAAAGATAAGTGGAAGGGTATGTGTTATAACGTGTGAGTAAGGATTCAAGAAGCGAAGAGAATGAGTGGCTCGTAGTAGGAACAGGGGAGATGAATTATGAATCTGCGTATTCTGCGATCCTCAGGGAGATATCAGATGTAGGTATCTTTGAGTAGTTCGCGCTGACGTCCCGGCGGTCCCGCCAGGCCGCCATGGCTCGTCTGGCGTACTGTACCGACGTGGACCGGTCCGTGGTCCTCTCCAGTCTGGAGCGGCGCGGCTGGACCGCCGTCGGACCAGAGGACGACTGGAACTTCTACTGGTACGTGCTGGAACTTTCACTGGTACGTGAACGACATCACCTTCCGTTCATATACAAAGGCACAACTGCAGACGATACGGTGCACGTTGAGAAATAAAGAGTGCAGTGAATATACCTGACGAGAGAGCGAGAGAGAAAGGGAAAGAGAGAGAGAGAGAGAGAGAGAGAGAGAGAGAGAGAGAGAGAGAGAGAGAGAGAGAAAGAGAGAGAGAGAGAGAGGAAAGACAGAGGAGCGGCTGTATGATCCCCTCATTTCGTCCTCAGGGCCTCGACAAACACCACCCGCAGTCTATTCAGCGTCGACAGTGGTTACCGTATGGGAGATCACCAGTGAGTATTTGACCAAACACTGGCGTGGGAAATGAGAGAGTCGCCCAATCATCCCACACCGTTTAGCCATAATGTTACTTAAAGCCATAAGCAAAGTTAAATTTATTAAATTTTCTGCGAGGATAACGTTATAGCCGAAAATGATTCGCCTCAATGATAGAGGCAGGGCAACGCAATCCTGTCCCACAGTGTGTGGTCTTTTTAAGTACCTATGTGTTTTTGACGTTCGTATACGTCCGTATATGTACATATACCTGCATTGTTTGATGAATGACATGCTTTATTTACAGTCATAAACGTAACCAGTATTTGTATCATTTTAACAATGTTATTTAAAAATAATCGACCTGGTTGATCAATTAGGTATCGGCACCAAATTAACTTACAATGTTTACGTTTGTCCATAGGATGATAAACCACTTTCCGACCCACTACGAGATCACCCGTAAGGACCTGATGGTGAAAAACGTCAAACGCTACCGCAAAGAGCTGGAGAGGGACGGAAACCCGCTGGGAGAACGAAACGAACAGGTCAGGTCGGATGACAGTCAAACACACGCTGGTCGTAACTCAGCTTGCCTTAACACGCGCAGTGGAAGGGTTGCGAGTACTACGCCCAGTGGAAGGGGGGGGGGGCGGATGTCGCCCCCCCCCCCTAAGATCTCAGCTCCCACTGGAGCTAGAAAGACGAAATTTGGAGGGTAGGTGGGGGCCCAGGGGAACTCTGTTGTGTGTGAATTTCATGACCCTAGGTCAATATCTTCAAGGTCAAATGAGGTCAAAAGTGGTCAAATCTGCCATATTAGCGACTTTTTTGCGTTTACACGCCGATAACTCAAAAAGTTACCGGCCGATTTTCTTTTTTCTTCCACTATACGAAAGAACATACATTTGTGAGTATGTATGGTGAATTTCTTGTTAATCCAACAATAAATATGGCAGTTAGAAGCCTGCTAAGCGTAAGATGTCGCCGGCTGAAGCGGGATCGGCGGACGCGGGAAACGCGGCAATCACAATTTTGTGTTTACACACTCATAACTCAAGTTGTTACCGGCCGATTTTCAAAATTCTTTGACCATAAGATTGCCTGTACATTTCTTAGTCTTCTCACAAAATTTGACGCTAATCGAATATAATCAGCGGTAAGGAGCGCGATGTAAAGACGGAACCGTCCCGCCCCGGCACAGTCTACAATTCAGGCGGCGCGTAACGGCTAGCGCCGGCCGCCGCGGCGGCAGGATGTTTGACTTTACACCGCTATTACTAGAAAAGTTGTGACCCGATTTTTTTATTTCTTGCACGAGAAGATCCACAGTTCAATTCTGGACAGGTAGCCAAAATTTCACATTAATATCATGTTTGCGGCGCGAGTTATTGGCGAAAAACAGGAGGGGTGGGCGAAATCCCCCCCCCCCCTTCCACTGCGCGTGTTAAATAAGCTCACATTGTCCTAAATTAGATAAAACGTTATAATAAAACGATATTGTTGCATATTATAAAAACACTATTTACAAGAAGCGGTACTTCTCAGAAACACTGACAATCGTCCGGCGTTGTGTGCACGTTGCGTCCCTCAGGGTCGCTACGTGCACCTGGACTTTATCCCGGTGACGTTCATGCTGCCGGCCGACTACAACCTGCTGGTCGAGGAGTTCCGCAAGAGTCCCAACAGCACATGGATCCTCAAACCGGCCGGCAAGAGCCAGGGCGTTGGCATCTTCCTCGTCAACCGGCTGGCGCAGATCAAAAAGTGGTCCCGCGACTCAAAGACGCCGTTTAACCCGGCGCTCGTGAAGGATACATACGTCATCTCCAGGTCAGAATAGGAACGGGTTTTTCGGCATATGTATTCCGAAGAAATAAATGAGTATTTTAAATGGTGCCACTGATTGAATTACGCTTCTTGTATAGCTATTTATGATGTCTTACACGATGACCATGCCGGTAATAGGTGAGTGGAGAATAAGCGAGAATTACATATGTTTTATGTTTCGCGAATCATTTACAGATACATCGACAACCCTCTGCTGATTGGTGGCAAGAAGTTTGACCTGCGCATTTACGTTTTGGTTACCTCGTTCCGACCGCTCAAGGTCTACCTCTTCAAGATGGGATTTTGTCGCTTCTGCACCATCAAGTATGACCTCAACACTCAGGAACTGGATAACATGTTTGTTCATCTCACCAACGTCTCGATACAAAAGCGCGGGGTAGGTATGAACACCTCGGTAGCACTTTGTTTCGCTATGGGTGTAGGTAAATGTCTTACCAAACATTTCGTTCAGCTTTTTGGTCTGAAGACTGAAGTTGTCATTCAAATGGCCGATTTGCTGCCTTCGATACAGAATGCTGTCAGGCTTACCAGGACCATGCCACTACACATTTCCCTACATCTTCATTCCCAGGCCGAGTACAATTCGATCCACGGCGGTAAGTGGTCCATGGAGAACCTGCAACTGTTCCTGGAAGGAACTCGCGGCCGGAAAGTCACCGACAAGCTGTTCAGCGACATCAACTGGCTGCTGGTGCACTCGCTGAAGGCCGTGGCGCCAGTCATGGTCAGCGACCGACACTGCTTCGAGTGCTACGGATACGACATCATCGTCGACCAGAACCTCAAGCCCTGGCTCATTGAGGTATGTGACAAGCAGTGTGCCATTGATTCGGGTAAATTCTCGATTATTTGAACACATTCAGGTGTGACTCATTTTGTGAGTCTCTTAGCATTTTAAATCGTGACAGCCCAAAGTTTTTGGAAGGCAGCGTTTGGCGCCTCCCGTAATTTGTGCATCGATTCGTTTGTAGTCTGACGTAGCCTTCCGTTCTAATGTCTAGCAATAGTCAAAGATAACAGTGAGTGAGCCAATTTGCTGACCACCTTCCCTTCACAGGTGAACGCCTCACCGTCTCTGTCCTCCACCACGGCCAACGACCGGATCATGAAACAGGCGCTGATCGACAACATCATCAAGGTCGTACTGCCGCCCGACGGAATACCAGAGTGAGTGTGTGCGGACAGAGATGAATTACGCAAGGAAATGTAAAATAGATCCGATTCGGTAAAACTTGATGCTTTATATTTATCATCTATAAAACCATGCTTATCAAACTATTCGTCACACTGCGTGCTTTGATTTGCCTTGACCTTTCCAAAATGGTACTGAGACGTAAAACATCGTGAAAACGATTAACACATATTCCGTAGCCAATGTAGCCACTATCACGTTTTCGTTCCTCCGTATCCAGCGTGCACTGGAACAAGGTGCCGCCGTCGGAGAACCTGACCGACTTCGAGCTGCTCCTGGACGAGGAGATAGCTGCGCAGCTGGAGAACGCCAGGGACCGCGGACAGGCCTCCAACCTGCCCCGCTGGCGCTGAACTACGGTCACTGTGACTGCCCGGGACAGCTGGAGAACGCCAGGGACCGAGGACAGGCGTCCAACCTACCCCGCTGGCGCTGAGGATCGCGGACAGGCCTCCAACCTACCCCGCTGGCGCTGAGGACCGCGGACAGGCGTCCAACCTGCCCCGCTGGCGCTGAGGACCGAGGACAGGCGTCCAACCTGCCCCGCTGGCGCTGAGTCTGTGACCCGGGCTGGGGACAGCAGAGGCTGTCTGGGACAGCGGACAGGCGTCCAATCTACCCCGCTGGCGATAAAGCACCTGAACAATGGGAGAGAGGCCAGCACAGCTATGTAACTTCCACCGAATCAGGACATAAAAAATGTTTGTATAATATACGCTTATCAAATGACCAAGAGTGTACACCTTTCGTTCAGGAGTTAACCAATCCACGATAGACTCGGGCAGTCAGGCTACGAGACAGTCCCAGCAGCGGCACTGAGCAGACCCAGGGTGGCTCTGACTGACAGAAGCAGTGCCCAGTGGAAACACAAGCACGGAGAATAGCCCAGACAACAACGGTGAAAACACTATCACAGGGGAGCCAGGAGGCGGCAGTAACCAGTAACCACAGCCCGCCATGGGAACCAGCACAGAGGGCGGTCAGTGACAATGAAAACCCATAACACGAGGTGACACCGTTAGGCGTTGGCGCGTATGTTAGAGCGGCAAGGCACTAGGGCTAATTAGTCAACACCATACGAGGGGGTATCGAAAAGTTCTGATCATCGCATAGAAGATATAGACGGATTTTGATGATTTTTGCTTTGTATTATATTTGGTTCTCAAGAACAATGTTCCCGCAAAGAAAATCCTGAGAAGTGGTTTTATCTTATGTAGGAGAGACTTCGAAGTAAAAAAAAGATGAATATTGGGCCCATTGATGAACGAACCGTCATCCAACTAATGCATTTGAAACGGTATCACACTGAGAAAATACATCAAGAACGTGAAATAAGTCTATGGCGAGGAAAGCCCATCTCATGCACTTACCGAAAATGAAGAAATATTTCAACTTGGTTGCATGGCCTTTGCAAGGGAGTCAAGAAGTGAGTGACTTCCAGTGGCTGACAAGCTGGTGACTGTGAAGGAAGTGGAGGACCTCATCCTTTCAGATCGTCGTGTGACCTTTCAGATGATCGTGCAACAGAAAGGTCTCAATGCTGGCAGTGCCAGAAAATATTATCAGCGAAGAACTACAGACGATAAAGGAGTCAGCCCGCTTAAAAGTTCGTGTGTCTACTTTGTTCAAGAGAAAAATGCGTCTTGGCCTTTGGAAACGAAAACTAGACATTTTTTTAGGAAATTGAAGACATCTTTGATCATTTGATGACTTGTGACGAATGCTGGGTCTATGTATATGATCCAGAGACAAAAAGATGATCAAGAAGTTGAAGCACGGCACATCTGTCCTTCTTAACCCGCGCACCGACGGGGGGGGGCGGATATCCGCCCCCCCCCCCCTGAGGTTTTTCGCGAATAGCGGGAAAACCGCGGCGCGTAGCGCCGCGAAATTTGGTATGACTATACCTTCCTCAATTTTACACATGGTGTGCAAATTTGAACCTCCTACCTTTTAAGGTCAGGTCACCAGGTCACTTTGAATGACCCAACCTCAAGTCACTTTTTTGCAACTTCGTCACCGTGCCAGAGCTACAGTAGATGTCGGAGACCTTTGAAAGTCGCAGGATGTTATTAGGTCATTAGTAGCTACAATTTGTATATCTCGGAATTTTGATATCGGTGACCTAAGGTCAGGTCAATTTCGCGACCTCCCCATTATAAGTCAATGGGGGAAAAATCAACTCCCTGTTTTTACCAATAAAACGGGTCGGAATGGCCCCATATACCATACATGACTTTATATACGATCAACCTTCACTACCTTGAGGTCTGTTTTGCTGTTGGGCAGCTGTGAGGTCATGTGACGTCATCAAAGGTCACCAAAGGTTTTTGGCCAATAACTCCGTACAGGAACAAGATACAGCCGCGTGGATGGTCTCATTGTGTTCAGCTCGTCAAGACGCATCGAATGATATACATGATGACCTCGAGGTCACGTGACCTGAGGTCAACCTTTGACCCTGACCTTTCGAGGTCAACATATATATCATTCGATGCGGATTGACGAGAGGATCACGATGATGCCCTTAGTTTGTTCCTATCTTGACTAGTTCGAAAGTTATTCGAGAAAAACTCTCAATATCTAGCGCCGCCATTTTGACTTTTTCGACCCCTGTGACGTCATCTTTGACCTGACCTGAAAATGACCTTAGTAAAAATTGTAGATCTTGACCGTGCGTATCCGATGCCGTTTACCGCTTGTCGCTATCTTGCTTCGTTCTCGAGATCTCAGGGGGGGCGGTCATCCGCCCCCCCCGTCGGTGCGAAGTTGGCGCAGACCCCCGTCGGTGCGCGGGTTAAAAGGCGAAGATGCAGAAATCGATATGGAAGGTCAATGCTATCAGTGTTCTGGATCTGGTGTAGGATAGTCATTACCGACTGTCTTGATGATGGCCGGATAATGATAAGCACGCACTACTGCAGACTTTTGAAGAAGTTGCAGGATGGCCTCAAGCAGAATCGCCGCAAAAAAGCCCAAGAAAGATGTTTTATCCGCACCGACAGCGCCCCCGCCCATTCGTCCTCAGCTGCGATTGAAGAAACAACAGGATGTGGACATTAAATCCTACCGCATCTAACAAATTCACCTCACCGAGTATTAACTGACTCTTGATTGTTACGGGAGATGAAGAATCCACAGCATGGCCGGTGATTTAAGGACAGAAATGACGTCATTGATGAGGTGAAGCAGTGATTTACGGGACAGTGCGAAGGTCATACAATGACCAACTGAGGCAGTTCAAGAAACGATGCAATAAGTTTGAGGTCGTGTGTGGTGACTTGTGAAGGAGTAATGAACATCATGTAAAGAAATCAAATTTCTATCACATCTTATTCATGGTGATGATCAGAACTTTTCGATACCCCCTCGTATGTCGGTGGCATAGCTATAACAAACGACTTCAGCCGGTAGGTGCCTGTAACAGCGGTCGCCTGTTAGATGCTGCACCCCACGGCGCAAGAAGTTCCTCCTCCGCTCAACAAATGTCTTTGTTATAGCGCCTGTATCATGCTGTGCCGCAATGCACAGTAGTTACTAGTTGCCTCCTCCGCTCAACAGATGTCTCTGTGTTATAGCGCCTGCACCATGCTGTGCCGCACGGCGCAAGAAGTTCCTCCTCCGCTCAACAGATGTCTCTGTATTATAGCGCCTGCGTCATGCTGTGCCGCAGTGCTCAATAGTCGCCTCCTTCGCTCAACAGATGTCTCTGTGATATAGCGCCTGCACCATGCTGCACCGCACGGCTCAAGAAGTTCCTCCTCCGCTCAACAGATGTCTCTGTATTATAGCGCCTGCATCATGCTGTGCCGCAACGCCCAGCAGTTTAAACGATCAGCGGCCAGACGTTCCAGCTATAATGGAAACCTATTGAAAGCAGCACCATGTAGCAGCGTGAATTCGACGCGCTTTTCTCCCCATGAGATGTCCTCGTTACGTTAATTATTGACTTTTCCTACCGGGCCGTTTGACTGTGGTGCTTCAAAGACCCTCGACAGTCAAATTAATTCAGCCATTAGTGCCTTTCGTTATTAGTGAATGAGAATGAAAACTTTCTCGTTCAAAACCTCGTGCACCTGCTCTCGCGCCGTGACAATGGGTTATGGACGTGCACTTTTTTAATTCAGGAGCACCGATAAAATCAAAAGCATACGAGGGAGCTGTTCCACCACCACCTACCAATCGGCTATGAAAAGTAAAACTTTCCGCGTCAATCACTGCATGGTGCATGTTGAAGGCTGTCACGGATCACATCGATTTTAGCGGCACCCAGAAAGTCTGGCTGCAAGGTCGCCCCAGTGGCGCCTCCCCCCCCCCCCCCCACCTGGACCACGGACCGTGGGGGGAGCCGTGACGCTGGCCGCGGCCGTGGCGTAAGGCCGGTCGCGGCGTAACGGCGCAAACACGGCCGCCGAGCCGCGATCGTTACTGGCCGTCACCCCGGAGCGCGGCAATGTTACGGCGCGTCGCTGCGGCGACCCGGGCCGCGGCAGCGGCGGGCTGCGGGCGCCAGTGACCCGTGCCGACTGTGACCCGCGCCGTCTGCCGTTCAGAGTTCGCTCCTCTCGGCTCGGAGACCATGGGCGCCCCCGCGGTGTGTGCCGCCCTCGGCACGGCGGTGGTGCTTCTACTGGGGATAAACCACGACTTCGCTGCCGCTCAGACGACTACCGTTGCCGCTGGGACTACAGGTAAGAGTACGACCCGTGCGAGGAAACGGCCGGGATCAGTACTGAACCGGTAGGGCCTCGGAGCCCGCCAAGTTGCGAGGAAGCTGAACGGTTAGAGCGGTAGACAAGAATGGCGAACTTTACATGGCAACTAGGAGTAATGGCAAAGCAATTGTTACGAAAACGACCCACGTTTTTCTAAACGGCTCATCTGCTTGAAGGGCGAATAATTGTTTACTTTGAAATTTACGTTTTTCAGTTTTACGTATTTTTTAACTGCGCTTAGCGACTTATGTATGTTTAAATATGCTCATATTTCAAGCTGAAGCGAATGAAGCCAGCAAAGCTCAAACCGCAATAACTTGAAAGTCGCCCGTTTGCCGTGAGACTAACTAGACCTGCGTGTCATGCGTATTCCGACTTCCACAGCGGCGGCTCCGCTATGGATTATGGTTCCCATGGAGATCAAGGTGGCCGTGACCTACGACCCGACGTGGATGACGGACAAGGAGTCTGCCCAGTTCCAGCAGCTCGCTGCCGACACAGTCGCCGCTGTAAGTCAGGCACTTCTGACCGCGAGTGGTGCACCGACCCACCCAGATCTGGGGCCGAGAACAGTTTGGTTGGGTCAAGATATTTGGTTTCAGTTTCACGGGATAGTTTTGGTTTCGGGGCACCTGGACTATTTGCTAGAAGCGCTTACCTATGTAAAAATAATATGTGGTTATTCATGATTACCTATTAGGGGTTATATTTACCTGAGGGATACACGATTACCAAAGATTTTCGTGTCGGGTGAGCGGTGTATCTAACCAAGAAAAAACGGGTGCGTTCTGCACGGTGCTTAAAGTCTGACTGAGTGTGGTGTGGGTACGGTCTGTGGGGCAGCCCCTGTGCCCCAGTCTGACCGGGCGGGCTGCTTCCTCTGCCGCAGATCACCCCGCTGATCGATGCCGAGTTCGGCGACCAGCACGTGCTCTCTGCAGTGGACGGCTATGGCGACTACCTCGACAGAATCAAAATATTTCTCAACTGCACACTCAAGACGACGGCGACCACAGAGAGTGAGCTGGACCTCGACCTAATCGACACCAAGCTCAAAGAGGTTATCCGACTTTTGAAATCAGTCGGCGAGTACCAGGTCAACGGCGGGAGCGTCAACACGGACGACTACGTAGTAGTCGAGCCGTTCACCATTACGACAGGTATGGTCGAATATGAGGTTATACTTAAATACTTATCAATTGGAGGATGACAAAATGTGTCCTGAAGACTCGTACCTTACTCACCAGCTCATAGCATGTAACTAGCTCATACCTGAGGCTGAGTGTCCTGGTAAAATGAATTCATGCAACACCCATGGCACCGGTGTATGCAGGTCAAAGTATAGCTGGGCGTTCTTATCTAGCCACCACATATCTAATAAATAGTAGTCCTAATCGTAAAGGATTTGAATAGGTCAATGATGGCTCTGGTTGACTATTCGCAGTGGCGCAAACAACAGTGCGTGAAAAGCGTTCAACGACAGCCATGAACGCAACGACGGTGACTGAGAGCGCGAGTGCCGTTACTGAGAGCGCTACGACAGCCGCCGCCGAGAGCGCTACGACAGCTGCCGCCGAGAGCGCTACGACAGCTGCCGAGAGCGCTACGACAGCTGCCGAGAGCGCTACGACAGCTGCCGAGAGCGCTACGACAGCTGCCGAGAGCGCTACGACAGCTGCCGCCGAGAGCGCTACGACAGCTGCCGAGAGCGCTACGACAGCTGCCGAGAGCGCTACGACAGTTGCCGAGAGCGCTACGAGTACGACAGCCGCCGCCCAGACTTCAACGACGGCCGCCGAGTCTTCAACGACAGCCGCCGGGTCTTCAGCGACAGACGCTGAGAACGCTACGACAACCGCCGGGAACGCTACGACAGCCGCTGAGAACGCTACGACGAGCGACGCCGCGACGGCAGCGAACACGACGGCGCCAGAGACCAACGCGACGACCGAGGCGGCAAACATGACAACAGTGTCGACGACAACGCAGCCGACAACTACAGGTGAGACAGGGCTACCGGGAGGCGGACATGAAGGGGCGAGGTTTTATGGTAAAGGCGAGAAGCTGGTGGGAAGGGGAGATAGGGAGCTAGATGGGAACGGAGATGAAGGAATGTGAGGGAGATATTAACAATGAGCAGCGGATATTGAGAGGAAAGAGGAAGAAAGGATGAAATAGTAATCTATGTAGTTTCGTCATAATTGTGACCGCAGCTAACAGGGAACCGGTCACATTGTTAGCTGTAGGCGGCGTCTGAACGGGACAGTGGGTGACGGGTGCTCCGTTCGACAGAGGCGCCTCCGCCCGTGTCGGCCAAGCTCAGCTGTATGGTGAGGATCACCAGCATCAGCTATCAGGACTGGATGGCGCTACCCTTCACCAACCAGTACAGCGATCTGGCTAACGCCGTGGAGCAAGTGGTGAGCGCCCGTCCTGCGCTGAGGGCTGTGCAGACCCGTCCCGCGGCACAACTCTGTCGTTGAGCTCCCCATTGGATGGTCCGGCCGGGGTGGTTACACTGTATGGTGCAATGGTGCATCCCGTTGTTGTGTTTTATACGCCTCTGACGGCTCCGTGTGGCGGTACACAGACCCGTGATTCCCTGTGTGCCCCTCTGACAGATCCACTGTTAGCAAACAGACCCGGTCTACCCTCTCTACACCTCTCTGACAGCCCCGGGTGCCGGTGCCGGCAGTCGCAGCCGGTGCTGGTCGACAAGTTCGGTGACGACTTCCGCAGCGTGGCCGTGACCGGCTTCCGCTCTGGCTCGGTGCTGGTCGACATGGAGGTGGTGGTGATGACCGACAAGACACGCGCCGAGGACGTGGACGCCAAGACGCTCTCCGAGGAGACCACCGTCGCGCTGCAGAACCTCATGGAGGAGGGCGACTTCATCTTCGACCCGAGCGCCGTGGAGACCAGCGAGGAGATCGAGGTCATCGAGCCGACCACCTCACCGGCCCCGACCGGTCAGTATAGGGTGCACCCACCACCTCCAGCTTCTGTCTCCGTCACTGCAGTTTTCAGTAGATTATTTGTGACAAGTGAACAGTGTGATCGTGGCTGTGGGGCTCTTCATGTTATCTGCGCTGTCTGCCTTTCGTCAGCTCGACCACTCGCCTTAGCGTGTCCCGTCGGAAGGTGTGACCATATGACCCGTTACCTATTCCCGGAGCAGGTGATGACGATGACCTCTGACCGCCCCGCCCGTCGCCAGAGGACCCGTACCGACACACCATCATGCGGTTTGAGATGCGCGCGCCGTTCGCTAACTGGACGGACGATCTGAACGACACCGATTCCGAGGCGTTCGCCAATATGGAACAGGAGGTCCAAGCTGGCGTAAGTAGACACGCAAAACTAGCTTGATATCATCGCAAGAAATGAAAAACGTGAAAAGGCGTAAAAGACGCAAAGGCATCAGTATCTAAGTATTTTTTGCCATAAATTTAACAACAGTTATAAGCGGCACTTGGCATGGCATTTCTTCCGGTTTGTGTTGTCGCGTCACCGTGTCGGTCGCGCCTCTACCCCTAACCCAGCCTAATCCTCCCGATCTCCCCATCACAGGTGGAACTGATGCTCAGCAAGAAGTATCCGAAGGGCGAGTGGAACGTCAGCTCCTACATCCTCTGGATGAGCAACGCCACCGAAGACGTGGAGGACGATACCACCGAGCCGCAGGGCGTCAAGATCAACTTCGTCGTCACCGTGGAGCCTCAGATGACCAACACGTCCAAGATCGTCCAGGAGCTGGCCAGGAGCTTCGTCTTCTTCAACAAGCTGGGCACGCTTCAGATAGCACCCGATTCAGTCTACTTCAAAGGCGAGTCACGCCAGCTAGGCGGTAGAGTGGGCGATCCAAGGTGATCTCCAATGAGGTGGAACTCCGGACCGGCCGCACTCTATAGGGTCCGGGGAGTCCCGAGGCATAAATAACAGATTCATCCCTATATGACGTTATCCATCCTCGTTCTTCAAGGCCTCTAACTTGAAGTGTTTATCATAGCAGCACCGACATCTTGTGGCTGTATCTGCCTACTTGACAGCCGCGCTCCACCAATGTAACTCACCCGACCACCTCCCGTAGCAAAGACCTGACCTCGGGGTAATTTGACCCACCCTATTCTCATAGCACAGGTAATTGACTTACCATTTCCCCTTATCGCAGGAAACTGGCCCCCTTCATTCCAATACCGCAGGCAACTGATACGCCCTAACCCTATGTCGCAGATCTGACCACGTACGCTCCCGGCATGGGCGTGGTCATCATGGATGCAGACTACCTGCGTGCGCTCAGGAAGACCCAATGTGAGTACGGCCAGTCGCCTCAATGGCTATGCCATCAACGCCCAGGATAAGAATCCTTAGAGCTATAATTCAAAATCCTTAGTCAGATACGTCGAAATTTCAGTATACCGAATAAGGGTGCGTTTTGAGCCACCCCAGTCATCAGCCTGTTGCCTACATATCGACACCTTTTTTTAAACCCCAATCTGCTCTCCCGTGAATTTCCGGGAGGCACGAAAGATCTCCTTTTAAAAGTGTCCAATCGTCCGATCCTGATCAAATATGTGTGTTCGTAGGCCTGTTCTGGTATTGCTTTATCTGCCAAGACAGACAAACTTGAGAAAAATCGAGTGATTGTACCTTTTTTGAAGGTCTCTAACCAACTTGTCTGAAATTCACCGGAGAACAAATGTGGGGTTTAAAAAAGGTGTCGATATGTGCGATGGATTTACCCAATGCAAGGACTGGCTGACTTTGGTAGCGTTTTTCCGGCAGACAACGGCTCTTTTGTGGGCGACTTCACCACCCAGCCGCCGACACTGCAGCCCGTCATCAAACGGCACAAGGGCTTCGTGCTCGGAATCGCCGTGCCGGCCTTTATCGGTGAGTATTCGAAAATAATGTCAGCTCTCATCGACCATTAGATATGTCGCCAGGTAGTATCACTTTTATTGTTCTGTTGTTTTCACCCTTTCCTTCACTTTGTTACGCTCACGAGGGCACCCAGCCCACTGACTGCTCCCCTGTGTCTCACTCCAGGCATGATCGCCGCCATCGGCCTGCTGCTGATCTGCACCACCATCGCAGGAGCCAAGAAGAGCGACGATTAAAGGCGCCATGGACATGTCCCAAAGCGAGGGTGACCTGACCTGACCAGCGCCTGAGGGTACTAATGTTCAGAGCGCGTCTCTTACGGTCGGTTACTATCGGCTCAAGAGTTTTACAGACGCTCCGGTTTGCCGTTACTGTGTGATATGGATATAAGAATCGGCTTACTTGGTGTTGCGACATATCGAAGTGCATTTCAAAATGGAACGCCCAATTTATTCGATATGAACAGTTCTCGAATGTAAAGCAGAGGTAGAATAGTTCCAGTCAGCTTAAGAAGCATTGTGATATTCAGAAGAAAGTTTCGTATACGTTTAGCAAACTTAACATTGCTTCGCCTCGCAGATGTAGCGGTGCGAATAGGGTGAGATACCCCACTCACCCCACGCGGATTCCTTCTGGATATTTTTATGTCAGTCAGACACGCAAGTATCCGAATTCGGCGGTAATGATACAGTTACAAAACCATGACATCTGGCCTGTCTTACAGGTGACTCGTAACCTCAGAGGACGTTAGGCCGTAAAGAAGGCAGTTAGTTGCGCGTGTCGATGCGGTGTTAAGTTTCGTTCGTTTACGATGTGCGGATGTCTGCGTAGCGTTGCCTGGCCCGGGCACTAGTTGAGCTCAAGGCAAAGCTGTCGAGTCCCAGGGCCTATACAAGAGGGTCTCGCCACTTTGGTTTGCAGTTCAGACAATCAGTCCCGCGTCTATTCGAAGAGAAAGCTATTATCTGCTGTATAGGCGCCCAACAACGCTTTGTATTATTTTAACATTTTTCTCTGTTTTCATCTGACGAATACAGCGTGCATTACAAAAAGTTTTTTTCAAGGATATCTTACGAATGCTACCAAGTGGCACGCGATTGAAGACAGATAACTATCGTATATTGATATATTCGTATATAAATATATCCGTAAACAAATCATGCGGCATCACAATAGGTTATCCAGGTATAGTTACATATCACATCAGAAGGTTAGACACAAGCAGTAAGCACGACTAGTGACTAGAAGTTGTCTCCCAAATTTTAACAAACGTGCCTAAGTGTGCACGATGGTTATAGAAGAGCCACTCCAAAAACAACACACCCTAAACAGTCACCAGCCTACGAGCAGACACAACACAGGTGTCAACGCGTCAAGAGCGTTGCAGTGAATCGTACCGACAAACAAGAAAAACGAAAGATGTCGATAAATATAGAAAAATACGCCTGTTTATGCACATTTCAAGAATAAATTTGGGACAAAAAATATGTTTTGCAAGCAAACACAACTGTGTAAGAAAGACAGTCCAGACAAAATATACGCGATGCTGAACTGTTAAACTGAATTCAGTGACCGCTGAAGACCTTCACAAGCAACACAATCACATTTTCCAGCAAATAAGTGACACAACACGATCTCGCAAAATGTTGTGACAAGATGACCAGATTACGGGATAACACGCCTCAAATCAGAACGAATATTGTAGTTAGTAAGGCATGGAATAGCTTGAAGAAGCGTAAAAAACAAGCAAATGGTGACCGTGAATAATTTCATAAAAAATACCATAAAAACACATCCACAATTGCGCGGATGCTTGGCTTAATAAATAAGTAAATAAACAGCAAACTTAGAATAAATAATATCATCAAAATCAACGCGAAGTTATTTTGATGTGCTTACCACAAAATATGCAACAAATTATAATCTAGAAATGGATGAACGCATCATTCAAAGTTCTTATCAACAAGCCAAAAGTATACAGAAGTCCACAAAAGTAGCCGCAAGTGTTGAACACTCTGAGATGCTGAAGGGTACGCTTTTCCAGAGGGGGAAGGGAGACCATGAAGTTCATATTTCTGCAACTACCTAGCCCGCGCACGGACTGGTAATATGCCAGTTCCAGCGCATACGCCCACGCACCAAAAAAAAAAAGCGTCCGAGGGTTTTATGACTCGCCATTCACGGGTTGCTTACTTGCTCGTATAACTGCTGCAATAATTATAAGCTAGATTCAGAAATACAGAAGCCATTGCGCTGTTCACTTCACTGTGACCACACATACATACAACCCTCACATTGCCTGCAATTCAGGCTGGTAGAAAAGGCGAAAATAGAATCTGTCCCTCCTTTCTCATGTAGAGCCCCAACAAAAATAGAACTTGATTATATAGCAAGGGAAATACCTCACAAAGTATCCACATGTATAATTAAGTAACCGTCACCCAAGTAGAGCGATCGAACGGCAGAACAGTTAGCCCTGCCCTCCATTGGCAACAGCCAGGGCAAACAACGGTCGTGTAGAACAACTAGCGACACATATCGGAGCTTTGGCGAACCTCCCAGGGAGGTCTGCCAAACTTCGAGACTTTACCACCGTGTCTTCATCCCAATGAAGTTCAAGTATGCGAGGGACTGGGACTCATCTATTTTTATGTAGATGTGGTCAATATAGAGACAGGAAGGAAGCGACCATTGAGAGCTACATCGAAGAGATCGAACAAGTGCGACAGTCAAACCTCGGCTCCGAAGAAACAAAGAAAACAATTGTTCTCCACTCACAGGTCTGCTGCCTGCAGTGACCGACTGATACCACAGCCGGATGTTCCTCTCACAGCGAGGATGGTGACCTTGTTGTGATCTTCGACTTCTTCTTGTGACTACTGGGTGATGCGAGCGGTCCAACCACCGATAAGTAGTGTAGAAACCACGCACGACGCTACGCTAACAGACTGCTCTAGTGTCTCAACCAGCTCTGTTACCGTCCGTCTGGTGAGCACGGTTGGCCAGATACCCGGACTCTAACGCTAGCAGCGGCGGCGCTCTGGGAGCCCGCCGGTGAGCAGCAATGAGCAGCAGCGTAGTGTGAGCACATGTGAGCAGCACGGTAAGTGAGCACATGTGAGCTGCACGGTAAGTGAGCACATGTGAGCAGCACGTGAAGTGAGCATCCGACACACTCGACCGTCACGACGGAGGGCCAGACCGTGACCCCGTCAGGTCAGAAGAGTTTCGAAGAGGACTCGGCTCGGCCGGTTGTGACTAAGTCTTGAGGCACGCGGTCTGCCCAACTCCTGGGGTTCAGGACCTCGTAGCCTACACGGTTATCATGTTCTACCAACTCCTATCACAGTCCGTAGTCAAAACGGCCGGGAGGCGTAGCGAAGACAACCACACGGCAGACGAAGGACTCAACGAAACACACTCGACGCCAGCCACCGACCCGGAGCAGCACACACCTCACAAAGCGGCGACCCCCGCGATGGGCGCCCAGTCGAATCTGCTCAGCGTTTTCAGATGGGCACGCAGCCGGCTCAGGGCTCCGCCGACCGGTGGACCAGTGGACTGACCGTCTCGATGGTGGGGCCGTCCCCTCCCGGACCGGGCGGTGCGTCCGGTCGGCGCGGCGTGGACGAGGCCGTGAAGTAGGTGTCGGTGGAGTGGCGCCGGCCGTCCCCGCCGGCCGCCTCGTCCGCGAGAGTTTCATAGACGGGCACCAGGTCGGGCCGGCACAGACAGCGGAGGATCAGGAGCAGGGTGACGAACAGCAGGCCGCAGAACATCAGCCAGGAGCACACCTGTGAGGGGGGGGGGACGAGATTGTGAGACATCAGCAGCGATAATGACACAGCGAGGCATCAGCAGGGGTAAAAGCGGAACATCAGCGGGTGGAAAAGACACAGCGAGACATGAGTCACGAGCACACCTGTGGGGGAACAGCATCGCGAGACATAAGCAGGGGTGCCGACAGAGCGAGATATCTGCAACCACGAGCACACCTAAAGGAGAACGACAAAAAGAAACATCAGGCAGCAGAAATACATTACAGCGAGACATCAAGACAGGTAAACACACAAAAAAGCAGCGGGGATTAACCCGCGCACCGACGGGGGTCTGCGCCAACTTAGTACCGACGGGGGGGGGGGCGGATGACCGCCCCCCCCCCTGAGATCTCGAGAACGAAGCAAGATAGCGACAAGCGGTAAACGGCATCGGATACGCACGGTCAAGATCTACAATTTTTACAAAGGTCATTTTCAGGTCAGGTCAAAGATGACGTCACAGGGGTCGAAAAAGTCAAAATGGCGGCGCTAAATATGGAGAGTTTTTCTCGAATAACTTTCGAATTAGTCAAGATAGGAACAAACTAAGGGTTTCATCGTGATCCTCTCGTCAATCCGCATCGAATGATATATATGTTGACCTCGAAAGGTCAAGGTCAAAGGTTGACCTCAGGTCACGTGACCTCGAGGTCATCATGTATATCATTCGATGCGTCTTGACGAGCTGAACACAATGAGACCATCCACGCGTCTGTATCTTGTTCCTGTACGGAGTTATGGGCCAAAAACCTTTGGTGACCTTTGATGACGTCACATGACCTCACAGCTGCCCAACAGCAAAACAGACCTCAAGGTAGTGAAGGTTGATCGTATATGAAGTCATGTATGGTATATGGGGCCATTCCGACCCGTTTTAGTGGTAAAAACAGGGAGTTGATTTTTCCCCCATTGACTTATAATGGGGAGGTCGCGAAATTGACCTGACCTTAGGTCACCGATATCAAAATTCCCAGATATACAAATTGTAGCTACTAATGACCTAATAACATCCTGCGACTTTCAAAGGCCTCCGACATCTACTGTAGCTCTGGCACGGTGACAAAGTTGCAAAAAAGTGACTTGAGGTTGGGTCATTCAAAGTGACCTGGTGACCTGACCTTGAAAGGTAGGAGGTTCAAACTTGCACACCATGTGTAAAATTGATAAGGGAATAGTCATACCAAATTTCGCGGCGCTACGCGCCGCGGTTTTCCCGCTATTCGCGAAAAACCTCAGGGGGGGGGCGGATATCCGCCCCCCCCCCGTCGGTGCGCGGGTTAAGACACGCCACAACACTCAAAGAAAAATGCAACAACTGAGAAAGTTAAGAGACAATAGCATTAGTGCCTGGTGACTAGCGACACAAGGGCACTGGTTTCATTTCATCACGGCACCACTTAGCAGTACAAAGAACAGGTCACCAATGACTCGTATTTCTTACCTGAGCTAGGACGAGCCAGGACCTCAGATTTGATACCTTCGGGTAGCCAATAAAGCGATAGTTGTTGAGCTCAGCGCAGCTGAAACATGAAGTCATTTCAGAACTTGGTGGTTGCACAATGACAGTAAAGTATCACAAAAATAAGTCCACAACTGGGAGCACATCGGCAAAAGTGCCCATAAGAGCAAATTAGCTGTCGGTTGGATTCACCAAGAAGTGAGGTACATAAAACTACTCTATGGCCATTAACCCTCGCCCTGGCAGGGCATTTTTCATAACACGGCCTGGCAGGGGGGGGGGGTCGATGCGACCCCCCTCGCGATTGGCTCCTATGGCAACTAGAAACACCCAATTTGGTAGGTAGGTGGGCCCCCTGGAGTTCTCGCCCCTGTGCAAATTTGGTTGCTCTAGGTCAATATTTAGGGGGGTTTTGGGGGGGTATAAATGTAAACTTTTCGCTAAAAACAGGTCAAAAGTTTTTCGCTTATAACTTTTGATCTAATTAAGATAGAGCAAAAAGAAAAGCACCAGTGAACTCAGCACGTCAAGGCACGTCGAATAATATACTTTTTAGCTTGCTTAAGTGTACTTAAAGTTTTTCTTAAATTTTAAGTAAACTTTAATTAATTAATTAAGTTCAAGTTAACCAAATTGCATCATATCGCATATCATTCGATTCGGCTGATCACCAGGAACACAATGATACCATTTTTTAAGCTCTAGCGTCATTATGTGCCAAGTTATTGGCAAAAACGTCATTTGACCTCAGTTGACCTCATTTGACCTGATCCATGGATAAGTACACCAAATAAAGAAGCACCAAGTGACCTGCTGTTCAGTACTCTGGTTTCAAAGCACAAAAGTGATAGAACGAAGCGGATATCTCCATTATTTTCCGAATTTAGTATTTATTATTTTCCCTCAGGCTTAACATTACGACGAAATGACCTCTAACTGACCTCAGGTCAGTGACCTCAAAAACCCGAACTATATGTTATACAACTCGGTGAACATACCACATCCTGAAAGTTTGAAGGAAATCAGTCCAAAACTGTTAGTTGGACAGGTGCAAAAAGAAAATTGAAATTTGACCATGAACTTGTACCGGTTTTTCTGACCTGGTGACCTGACCCAAGGTCACCCGGACCTGAAATTTTCAGGTCATATGTAAAAAGGTTGCCCCATGGGCTGTGCCAAATTTGGTGGCGCTCACATTCCCCGCCCGGACGTCGGACCGAGCGGACGTGCGTGTGCTGTGCGCGAGCTCCGCGCGACCCCGCGAACGGGCCAGATGGCCGAGTGAGCGCTCAGTCGAGTGCCTGGGTGACGAGGTGCCTGAGTTCATGAACTTAAGGCTGTAGTGGTGTGCGCAAGGAAAAGTTTCATAAAAGTGAGTACCTACGGCTTGAGAGTTTTGGCATCACGCCTTAAACCATGCCGGCTACTGACTCTGAGACTGAGGCCGCGTTTGGTACGGACTGTGCAACGTCTGAAACAGAAGGGGAGTCTAGAAACAAAAGACAAGTCTCTGTGCAAGAAATGTTGCGCCGTTCCGAAGCTCGTAAAGGTAAGCGGCAGGCTCCCAGCCGCGGCTCTCGCTCACCCCAGGACGAGATAGCGCCCGGGGCTAAGCGGCCGACAGGCGAACAGACAGCGCCGGTAGAGCTCAATGCCGCCACCCTAGCCGCCATCCAAGGCATGATAAATTCAGGCATCGACAGAGTTTTGTCTTCTTTTGAATCCAAATTCGAAGGATTTGAGAAAAGAATCGAACAGTTAGAAAGTGAGATAATGGAGAAAGATATGGAACTCGGAAAAATGAAGGAAAGAATAGAAATACAAGAAAGAGCGTTGGAAGAGCTTCAGGAGCGTACTGACAGCATTGACGCTAACCGAAGGCTCTCTTCACTCATACTCACCTGCAACGACTTTGCAAACGTCACCCCGAACGAGAACATCGAGGAAAAAGTGGTGCAAGTTATAAACGATCGCTATCCGGGATTGATCGTCACCGCCGCTGATTTACAAACCGCTCACCGCCTGCAATCTAACAACAAGGTGATTGTGAAATTTTTCAAACAGCAACTCCGTGATGAAATATATGACGGAAGATTCAGCATGGCGAGCGGCGGTGGCTCTGATCGCCGCCAATGGGGCCGACCTGCTCGTCAGCTAGCTCCTCTCTTCGTCACGGAATCTCTGGTGGCGTCGCGAGCGGCGCTGTATCAAGAGCTGCTCCGCGCCCGGCGACCTGAGAACGGCGCTCTTGTCGCCTCAGTGTTCAGTCGCCGTGGCGTGGTGTGGTGCAGGAAAGTGAAAGGAGGTGAAAACATCAGAGTACCAGATCAGAATCGGCTGCGGCAGATTCTCGGCGGAGCTCGGTTCCCGCCTCCGTCGGGTGCGGCGCCGACAGCTCGTCGGCTACCTCAGCCCCCTGCCGGCGCTGCCGGTCGTCAAGCTGCCGATTCTGCATCAGTTACACGGATGGGAGGCTCTTCACCGGCCGTGTCGGTGGGCGGCGCTGTCCGCGCCCGATCGGCGACTGCCGGCTCCGAACGTGCTGCTCCCGCAGCGGGTGACTCCGCTCCGGGTCAGCCGGCTGGAGGATCCGCCTCTGCTGCGTCGGTAGTTGGAGATCCTGCTCAGGTCCCGCCGGCTGACGATTCAGCTGCCTCCGACTCACTACAGAGGTCATGACCTGGGCCGACTTCGTCTCCCCTGGCGCGGCGGCGAGCGTCGTCCGGCGCTGGCCGGTCTGCTCCGGCGGTGGGCTGCGCTGGGCCGGAGGTCCTTTCGCCCGTCGCCCGGTCGCTGTCTCCGGACCGGTTGCACCGCCCGTTGCTGTGCCGGCCGGGGTCGGGCGACTGTCCGTCGCTGCGGTGAGTGACTCAGCGTGTCCCGGCGTTACTCGGGCTCAAAACACTGCCTTCTAGAGTATCGGTTTGCTTACTATTGTATGCTCCCATTTAAAGCCATTGAAATCATGATGAGTGGAAAGTGACTATTAAGGTTTAGTTATGCTTTTTATTTCTTTTTTTCCTTGTCTCATGACATTACAATTAGCTCGTGGTACTTGTTTCATGATAGGATAGCTTCGATTTGGTGGGTTTTTGAAACTTGATAAGTGTGAGTAACACTAGGTAGCAGCGAGAAAATTGTTCTCCTTTGGTACAACCCTTTTTTCATATGTTGTCTTTTTTGTGTTTTTGTTGTTTGTAAGAAACCTCATCTCGTCGTCTCGTCACCCTCGCACGTTCCGTGCGGCGTTCTGGCAACTCGCCAAAGCGCCACCTACGTTCCCTGGTGGAGAAGCATTAGGGTAGATGTCGCCTTTCAGTGTATTACAGATGTCGCTGTAACGCAGTGTTTGTGCCGCGTCTTCAATCGTAGGCGTAACAGGAAATGTGCTGAAATCCTAAGTCATCACACACACAACTACATCATAGCATATACACTCCTTGACATGCAAGACTCACTACCAGAAACAATGCACACGATAAAACACAAAAGATACGAAGCGGAAAGCAGGACTATAGTGTTCGGCTGTGTCATTCGATTCCCTACTCTAAGTGTTGATTCAAAGGGGGTTACATTGATATTCGTACATATATATGAGTGAGTTAAGTATAATGTCTATGAACTGCAGAGGTTTAGGTAGTCAACAGAAAAGACGGGACGTTATTAACTACATAAGGCAAACATCGTACGATATTGTATTATTACAAGATACCCATATAACTGCTCGTACAATTCCCTTTTTCGACGCGCTATGGCGAGGTAAATGTTTTCACTCATGTAAAACTGGCAATAGCCGAGGATCATCAATATTGGTGAAATCGACAGTATCTTTTAACGTTTTAGAGGAACGAACATGTGATAGTGGCAACCTTGTGATCTTGGTATGTAGTATCGCATCTAATATCTATACCATTGTCAGTGTCTACGGCCCTAACGAGGATAACCCCAGGTTTTATGAAATCCTTGAAGAATATCTAGATTCACTGCCTTCAGAAAACGTGATAATAGGAGGTGACTTTAATTTTGTGATGGATTTAAAGAGGGATTCAAATTACATCCAAAATAATAATCCTAATGCCAAAGAGAAGTTTAAAAGCATAATGCGAAAGTACGACTTAGTCGACGTTTGGAGGCACTTTCATCCGGATGAAACACAATTCACTTGGCGTAAACAGAATCCATTAAAGTTTGGAAGGTTAGATATGTTTATAGCCAGTGAGCATATGCTTCCTAACCTTTCTAATTGTACTATATCGCCAGGTTACAGAACAGATCATAGCATGATATCAATGACTTTCACTGAACCTGACCAAGAGAGGGGACCGTATCTATGGAAATTCAATGAATCTCTCTTAAGCGATACTGATTATACTGAGAAGATTCAGAACTATATAAATGAGATCATTGCAGAGTATGCTATCCCACTCTACTCCGAGGAATTTCGTTCTGATCCAATGAACTACAACGAAATACAATTTAAGATAGGTATTGGTCTTTTTTACGAAACACTTCTGATGTTAATAAGGGGCGAGACCGTGAAATATTCCAAAAGGAAGGCGCGAATAAGAAGAGCAGAGGAACTTAGCATTATTAATAAAATAGGGGATTTCCGAAAAGCATTGCCAGGTAATTTATCTGAGGAAGGTTTCCACGAGCTGGATAAACTGCAAAATCAACTTGAAACTTTGAGAGCCCCTAAGATCCAGGGACTAATAACACGATCGAGGGTAGCATGGCACGATCATGGGGAAAGGAGCTCACACTATTTCTTGTCACTTGAGAAGCGAAATGCTACTCGGAAAACAATTCAGTGTCTGAGGGTGGATGACAAAATTATACGTAAGCGACGAGACATCCTGCAAGAACTAACCAATTATTTCTCTGAAAAGTATACAGCAAAGACAGATTGCAGGGATGCTTCAGAATACCTCCAAAAAAACATTACGCGTCGTCTCAACGACTTACAAAAAAGTTCTCTTGATGAGCCACTAAGTCTTCGAGAACTGACATCCGCACTGATGTCGATGAAGAAAGGAAAATCGCCAGGAAGCAATGGCTTCACGGCAGCTTTTTTCAAACATTTTTGGCCTTACATTGGAGTATTTTTGTTAAGGGCTTTTAATGAAGATGTGTTGAAGGGTTGTTTGATTAACTCCTTCCGAGAGGGAATAGTGACGCTTATCCCGAAATCGGGTAAACCAGCAGATTCGGTAAAAGGTTGGAGACCCATTTCTTTATTAAACACTGATTTTAAAATTATATCTGCTGCTATTACTTCTAGGCTGAAAAGCGTAATGCATGAACTTATTTCACCTAGTCAGAGTGCTTACATAAAAGGGCGATGTATAGCAGAAAATAGCAGACTTGTATATGATGTTATTGATTTTTTAAACAGAACCAACAAACCTGGCTTCCTCCTCGCAGCAGACATTGAAGCCGCGTTCGAAAGTGTTTCCTGGGATTTCTTACGTAAAGCATTAGATCAATATAACTTTGGACCTAATTTCAAGAAGCTGATACAGCTTGTTTATCTTAACGATGCAAACTTTTCACGAATCATGTTAGGTGGCTTCCTGGGAGATAAAATCTATTTGCATCAGGGAATCAGACAGGGTGACCCGGCGTCAGGTTATTTGTTCAATCTTGCAATGGAGCCCCTTACAAATATGATAATACAATCTGAGAAAGTACGCGGAGTGAGGATACATGATTTTGAAATCAAAATCTCTCAGTACGCGGATGACGTTATTATGTTCCTAGATGCAAATGACACTTCATTACGGGGCGCTCTCGAAGAGATGGAGACTTTTTCCTCCTTTTCCGGACTGCGCACAAATATCAGTAAAACAAAATGTTTGTCCATTGGCGGCAATGCGAGGATAGCGAACTTCTGCGGAATTAGTTGCGTTGAAGAGCTCAGAATACTGGGAATTACTTTCAATGACAAAAATGTTGAATTAACCGATAGGAACATATCAGCTATCTTACCGGCAATTGAGAAAGAAATAGCGCAATGGAAGAGAAGAAATCTATCAGTTTTCGGAAAGATAACGGTTATAAAATCGCTACTATTGTCAAAATTGGTGCATATTTTAATGGCGCTGCCAAATCCATCTCACAAGATGGTTAAACACATAGAATCCCTCTGGTATACATTCTTATGGAATGATCGAAACGACCTCGTCAAGCGAACGAAAATGATTCAAGGTTATCATCACGATGGACTGAAAATGATAGATCTGTGGTCTTTTATCAAGAGTATGAAAGTAAGTTGGGTTCAAAGACTGCATTGGTCAAATAATAGCTGGGCAGGATGGATAAAAAAAGAGATTCCTAATGTAGAGTTTATTGAAAGATACGGCTGCAAAAAGGTGAATAAAGAGAGTAAACTTATCCCCAATCAGTTTTGGGCTGAGGTTGCAAGATCATGGGGAGACTTCATGGAAATGCATCAAGTGAACCCCGAGCGGATGTTGTCTGACTGGATATGGTGTTCTAACTATACTAAGTTTACATATGACAAAGTTACTAAATGGGACGGTAAAGGACTGAGGTTCATTCAGGACTTAACCCGCGCACCGACGGGGGTCCGCGCCAACTTCGCACCGACGGGGGGGGGCGGATGACCGCCCCCCCCTGAGATCTCGAGAACGAAGCAAGATAGCGACAAGCGGTAAACGGCATCGGATACGCACGGCCAAGATCTACAATTTTTACTAAGGTCATTTTCAGGTCAGGTCAAAGATGACGTCACAGGGGTCGAAAAAGTCAAAATGGCGGCGCTAGATATGGAGAGAGTTTTTCTCGAATAACTTTCGAATTAGTCAAGATAGGAACAAACTAAGGGCATCATCGTGATCCTCTCGTCAATCCGCATCGAATGATATATATTTTGACCTCGAAAGGTCAAGGTCAAATGTTGACCTCAGGTCACGTGACCTCGAGGTCATCTTGTATATCATTCGATGCGTCTTGACGAGCTGAACAGAATGAGACCATCCACGCGTCTGTATCTTGTTCCTGTACGGAGTTATTGGCCAAAAACCTTTGGTGACCTTTGATGACGTCACATGACCTCACAGCTGCCCAACAGCAAAACAGACCTCAAGGTAGTGAAGGTTGATCGTATATGAAGTCATGTATGGTATATGGGGCCATTCCGACCCGTTTTAGTGGTAAAAACAGGGAGTTGATTTTTCCCCCATTGACTTATAATGGGGAGGTCGCGAAATTGACCTGACCTTAGGTCACCGATATCAAAATTCCGAGATATACAAATTGTAGCTACTAATGACCTAATAATATCCTGCGACTTTCAAAGGCCTCCGACATCTACTGTAGCTCTGGCACGGTGACAAAGTTGCAAAAAAGTGACTTGAGGTTGGGTCATTCAAAGTGACCTGGTGACCTGACCTTGAAAGGTAGGAAGTTCAAACTTGCACACCATGTGTAAAATTGATGAGGTTATAGTCATACCAAATTTCGCGGCGCTACGCGCCGCGGTTTTCCCGCTATTCGCGAAAAACCTCAGGGGGGGGGCGGATATCCGCCCCCCCCCCGTCGGTGCGCGGGTTAATAGATCTAGAATCGGGAGCACTTTTAACGAGAGAACAACTAGCACGAAGATACGGAGTGAGAATGACATTTTTATGTTATCAGTCATTAGTTAGAAGTCTACCTTCCGAAATACGTAATTTAGCAGTTCGTCACCAATTAAATTTACCTCTTATCCCATACAAGATAGCTTTATTGGCGAGAAAAAGCAAAATATCAAAGATAGCGTATTATGAGTTTATCAAGTCATTACGAAAAAAATATAAAGACTCTCAAACTAACTGGAGTAGAAAGTGGATGCGTGACATTGATTTAGCACTAGAAGGAAGTACGAATGACATGAGAATTGTAACACAAAATACATATTTGCAATCATTTCATTTCAAATTAATAACTAGAATACTCACAACAAACAGATTCTTACATAGGATAGGCGTGATAGAAAACTCTGCATGCACATTTTGCTTAAGTGATTGTGAAACTCTCATACATCTTTTCTGGATGTGTCCTAAAGTTCAAGATTTCATTCAGCAGTTCAAAGCAAATTTGCAAAACTCGTTTCGCTTAGAAATAATGTTTGATAGAAAAAGTTGGTTCTTCCCGACGCTAGAAAAGATTAGCAAAATAGAAGTGCTAATAATAACAATTGCTAAGTTAGTGATATACAAAGCCAGAAGCAAAGGTCAGCAACCGAACATCGATCACCTTTTACATATGCTTCGGATAGAGGCTGAAAAAGAAATGGGATCCGCAAGGATCCAAGGTAAATTGTCGACTTTTAACGATAAGTGGGGTGTCGTAAAAAACATTTTAGAGCCAAATTCACATGAAGACACTGAGCCAGAACACTGATAGTCCGTGTTTCTCACGCTTTTGTCTAGTACGAGATAGAAGGCAGTTCATAAAACAAGACATGAAACTAAACACACATTCACAAACACCCTCACAAATGCACCCCTACAAACACACACACACACACACACACACACGCACACACTTCTACACACACAAACACATATCACAAACAAACACAAACACTCATACACTTCAAGTAGATGCCTCTTTGGTATAGCGTGCCCTGCCCGCCCCTAACCCAACCCGGCTAACCGGAGGCCGGCCCTATAAAGGGTCGGCCGGCCGGCCGGGCGCGCGGCTCGCCACCCTATCAGGGTGACGGGTCGCGGGCCCGGCCGGCGGCCTGGGGCATCGCCCCAGCAAGAACGAGGATGTGTTATACACGTAGTTTGCGGGGCGATGCGGGGCGGGGCAGGATTCCGAGGGGTTCCTTTTTGGAGTTGGAACTGACCTGACTGTGCAATTGCATGTTCATGATGATGACTGTTGTATGTTGTATGTGTTGTATGTGTAAATAAAGCCTATATGGAAAAAAAAAAATTGGTGGCGCTGCACGCCGCCATTTTTACGCCATCTTCGAAAAGCCTTAGGGGGGGGGGGGTCGCATCGACCCCCCCTGCCAGGGCGAGGGTTAACGATTCTATGCAGAGAATAGCAGAGCGAGCAGAGCTACAGTGAGCTGTGTGATCAACTAACCAGCCCTGTCAAGGGCATTGAGTCCTACACCCATGAATTCAAGCTTCTATGACATATCGTGAATAACGTTACAAAAACACAGCTACTCGTTCCCTTTTCACCCACTCGCGCTGAGGAATACTCACGATATGTTGGTGTGCGACTGCTCCAGCTCCTCGCAGAACTGGTACACGCCGCCGGAGGTCCAGACGGCGCACACCAGCGTCGCGATGGTGATCCCCAGGTTGAACACCAGGCCAGGGCACACAATCCGCCACGGACTATCCATGCCAAACCTGGCCGGCGCGGGCGCATCACACCATGGGTTGCAGCGTGGAGCGAACGAGAGCACTCAGAGGAGATGGGGGAACACAACGGGATATACAATGGGAACACAGCGCAATGGTATGTAAATGAGGACATTACTTATGAAGGATTTTCATGAGTTCACTAATAGTGAACTCATGAAAATCCTTCATAAGTTACTATAAAAATTGATAAAAAACATTACATTTGATTACGTGATGACGAATCCGGTCATCAGCTGTTGGTACGGTAGCTCCAGATAGCATCGGCAGCAATCAAATAAACAACCCACTACCCCAGGACCACACCGCACTCACCCTTCGGCCGAGCCCTTGCCGCCTTTGCCGCACATACAGAAGAAAAAGAAGAACGCTGCGGAGAAGATGACCGCGAAGATGGGCAGGAACTCTGCCACGTTACAGACGCGCGCGTCGCCCCAGCTGGTGCGTCGGTCGTCGGACGAACGTTCGTTGAACGTCACGTTTTGGCCGTCGAACTCTGCGACGCTGGGCCGCGCGTACAGCGGGCACTGGTCGTGGAAACGGCCGACCGTGGTGCCGATGGCCACGGTGCCCGTCAGGCTGGCCAGGATGACGGTCAGGTAGGCTAGCAGCGGCAGCGCGCGCCACAGCGGTGACACGTCGTCAGAGGCGGCCACCTCGAACCCCACAAACTGACGGCCCGGCATGGCTGCCACTGCAGCTGGGTAATGGCTGGCTGAATCTGGTCGCTGGCACAGGATGCGATGTGGAGCTGTAGCCAGTCCAGAGTTCAACTCCAATGTCACACTGGGATGGGTTCAGCTTGCCAGCTCACTGTAATACAGAGAGATGTGGTAGGCATAGGGACAGAACTGGCATGGTAGGTTTATTCAGTCATAACATAAGTAGGTATTTGCAATGAAGTTCAACTTCACATATGAAAATGTACCAGCAATCCCTTAAAGATATAAAGGTTCTAGCCTACAATCCCACTGACTATTGTCCACTGCTGAGTGCTCACACACATTTAACACAAATACCTTAAATTAACCTATCTTCCTTGCCTTATAATTAGTTTTCAAGAAATTCAAAGATAATATGAGTGTACTTCAGACACTTATTTTGTAGCATAGTGATGGCTTTTAAATTGAAGAAGATTTATTGGTTGTTTTTCAGCCTCTCATTGGTGAATGAGAACCATACCAGGAACCATACCTTACCAGTTACAGGAATTTTAACAATCCAAGCCAGAGGCTTATCTTATTAACAGAAAAATCAGCAGAGTGGTTACCTGCAGTTAAAGCTCTTAAGTTAGTCCCAAATATTCCCAGCTACAGCTACAAGCTTACAGCTACAAAAAAATACAAGCAAAACATGAAAATAGCCAATGTAAAAAGCACAATACCAGCCAGCCTAATATGATCTCACATCAGAAGTTATTTTCTTTCAATATGGTTGGTTGACACAGACATTGTGGGACAATTAAAGACATAAAGATGTCAGCAGCCTGAAATTTTCCTGTTGTTGGCAAGCCTGCATTCTGATTCGGAACCAGAATGAGAAGTCAGCAAGCAGCCAGAAACAACCTTTTTGTTAACCGTTAAGTGCTTTTAAACTGACTGTTCACAAAGCTGGCATAGAAATAGGTGACCAGAGAAAGATGCATCACACAGGGCTCAGGCCTCAGGGGCCCTGGTTCACAGGCACAGCATGACACTTCTTGATGCTACCAGTACCATGGTAGGTACCTGGTACAGACAGTCTTGAAAGTGTTGTGCACTAGGTCAGTGGACAGAGGATCCATATTCCATCAAGGCCAACTGAGCAGGGGCTGCTAAATCTGAGTCACCGTCCACCGAACCAATGGACCTGGGGGATGGATTGAGAAATGAGAATATCAGTTGGTCTTGGTTTGGTGACTCAAATTAAGCAGCCCTCTCTCAGTCAGGCTTGATGGATCCACCACACTGATCCACCGCACTGATGATTCAAGACTGACTATTGCACCAAGTTGCACCTCTTGGGTTTCCAAGAAAATATCAACAAGGTCAGGAATTATGATCAATGTCAGAGCATCCGATGATGTTTTCATGGAACCTAAATCAATAGGTACAACAATACCTGTAGCATAAGGATTGAGGCAGCAACATTCTGTGAAACAGTCAGGTGGGCAGTGGGGTCAAGGTGGGGTGGTGAGTAATCAGCCTATTTAGCCTTAAGTATCAATTTAGGTCTTGTTTTATGTTTGATGTTGATTTTTTACTCCAGCAGCAATCTACCAGTCCAATTCAATATTTCATTTCTAATTTGAAAGGAACTCCAGCAGTCACCCGCAGTCACATTTGGCCAATTGAAACTCACGAAAAATATAATAACCAAAATCCAAACAGCAAACAATCTTCTTTTTGCAGCTTTTTGCTTGTTTATAATGTTGGTTCCAAATGTGGCGCAGCTGCGACAATTCAGCATATCGCCTCCTATCGCCTCCTACTAACCCCCAAACGCACACACTAATTAATCGCGGTTACAGGGCTTTTTCCCTCGCGCCGTTTTGGCTTAGGTGCGAGGTTTTTGCCCTTTGCGTTAGGCGTCGGTTTTTTTTTTATTATTTAGGACTTTTTCGCCCGACTATTACACCCCACAACAAGGCCCCGCCCACGGTATATAGAGAACTGCCCCGCCGGGGGGCTGGAGCCTAGAAGGCAAGGCTATATAAACATACCCTGATATAAACCAGGTAGAACGCTCCGGGAAAAAAAGTTGGAAACAATAAATTAGTTGCGGCATTCCCTGATGACGCGAATGTGGGTCAGCGGCCGGCGGCCGGCGGCCGCTAACACTGTATGAGGATGAATGCACGGAACTTTTGCTTGTTGGAGATTGCGCTAGGCAGTTAAATGTTAATGTTAGGATATGTTTCGAAAGTAAATTGAACGACGCTTCGAACGCCGTCAATGAATTTGCGATACGACGACTATTTGTTTAGTTAGAGCCGGCGAACTTTTACCTTCCGACCGCGCGGGAAGGCGATATGGTGCCACACTGACGGTTTTACGACAGCTCAGAATTCTTTTGAGCTAAAGAGCTGAAATTTGACATGTCCAATCTTTTGATCAAGCTGGATCTTCTGGTACAAGTCGCATATTTAAGGTAATCAGGTTGTTGACCTATACTGTCGCTCGTGAGCCTCTACACAGTCCAAAAGCAACGCAATTTCTGAACACTCAGTGCCAAGAAATCCTTCACAGAAAGATGACACTTGGCAGAAAGAAGAGCTGTCGGTTTCTTACCGTTCGTATGTGTTGTGTTTTCACAAGAGTTTAGTAAGGTCAGGCCCCTCACGTGACCTCCCCTCATAACTCAATAGGACTAGGTTTACTTTCGTAGAAGCGTTTATCAATCGCCGGAAATCTTAGCCGATCTCACTGGACACTGGATCCATACCCACCTGCATGTGGGTATGGAGGGCCAGGAGGGCCCCATGGGGCCCTCCTGACTGGCCACTCCCTCTGAAATCCACAATAACAGCGGGCTGCGGCCACGGTTATGTATTAATGCTTTTCACTAACAGAAATACAACAACTTCAACCAGCACAGTGCACGCCGCCACAACAGTCCGACCCACGTCCCTGATATCGACTAGCACCCGGCCGGATGCACATACGCGGAGCCAATCAGTCCGAATGTGACCTGCATCTTACAATTGTTGTGTCGCATAGCGCATGGCACAGGACGATTCCTAGCAGCTGTCGGCTGGAGTGGAGAAACAGCACGTTGCGACACACCACGCCGGCGACAGAGTTCAGCACTCAGCAGGGCTGGTTGGAGGCTGGAGCCGGAGGTAAGGGCGGACACAGGCACAGACATTGCAGGACAAATAACAGGATGTCAGTTAGGGATATCATTCAAGACGAATGATTCAAGACGGACTGAAATAATGCAAATTTTGCTCACTTGGATACCAACTTCAAACTTGACGTTTATAACACTACGGAAAGAATGGGCGCACAGGAAAGAAACAAAAGATCAGGTGTTTCTAACAACTCAAGGAAGTAAATAGAAGTTGCATATGATGGAACAGCCCGAAGTGCAGACAAGCACATATTTTTGGTAATAGCTATCAGCTGTCCTACTCCTCTCCTCCCTTCATCAACTACTGGACACATCTGAAGCATCATATATAGGTAGCACCAATGTCCATAACAAAAGCTTGCAAGTAGTTTTATGAAGCCAGGGGAAACATGCATCATGCATGTAAACTCAAAATTACACATTCATGACAAAGGAATCGTATGTAAAGAGAAGAGTTGGCAAAAGCATTTCATAGTTAAAATTATTCAAAACTGCACACAGGGCAAACATAAAAAGCAGCAAGTGTGCTGTTCTGTTATGCTAAGAAATAGTCCAAAACAAAATATATCTTTTCATGTTTGAACTGGTTGTTCTTCTATTCCACTTCATCCATATATTGATTACAGATGGGCTGTTGCTGTAGGCTGATGAAGTGACACTTGATTGCCTTTGTGTGAGTTTCAGTTGCAGCCTCCTAGGTACTGCACCGGAAAGCAGATTGAATTGAATGCCTCTGAAAGATAGGAATATAGGCAAAGTTAGCTGTAGTAGTGTCAATGATAATAGACATGACATTTTTGTCCTTTCACATACATTTTTTGAAGTACAAAAAGGTACAAAATAAATTGGTTTGTTTCAAGACACGCACACTGCACAAAGCTGCACAGACATTACACAGGCATATGAAATTGGTACACATAAAACTTGATGATTAAAAAGGTCAAAACTAGCAATAATAATTAAAGTAAAAGTTACAATCACAATCATTAAATGACTTGACATAAGTCACCAGACGCAACGTTCCTATTCACTTAAGAAAAGTTTTTATTATATCCTCCACATATCAATCAGCTTGATACCAGGCTGTGCAATAGTGGGTGCATAACCCCATGTTGCCATTTTATTAGAGCAAATGGGGTTACATACAACAACAATGCTAATGTCAAACCCACATCTGCAACCCGTACTGCAGTTTCAATCACCTTACAAGCACACCTTCTGGCAGTTTGAGAGGCAGAATGGTCATTACTTCTTTCTCCTCATATTCAACACATATTCCCTTTATACAGATACAGTTTAGACCTGGGCCCTGTTTCACCGGTGATAGCAGCAAGCTACTATCAAATTGCGCGAGCTGACGTAATGTGATGACGTCATACTGCTGACGTAAGGGGCAATTCTGGCGCACGATTGCCGCAATATTGTTTTACGTCATCAGCTAAATGTTCGAAGTTAATGTCAAAATTTTTCCTAAACCCAACTTCTTTTAAATACATCATATTGAAAAAATATATATCAAAAATATATATACTATCATGACTGCGTAAACTCTTACTTTTAGGCTCATACGTCACTTAATGCCGCCGCCAAGGTCGCGGCAATCGTGCGCCGGAACTACCCATTACGACAACAGTATGGCGTCACGCAGTGTCCTGATTTTCGTGAATTTAGGTGGAAACCCACACCTAACAGATTCTCTTAGTGACGTCCCGGAAAGCCAAACGACGTCCCTGACAGATAAAAGTCGATAGGTATATCGAACACCAAAAGCAAACAAACAAAAATAAATATCACCTCTGTAGCCTAAAAACACGGCTATGCAAAATGACATTATTGTCATTTTGCATTGTCATATATCCTAAGTCCTCACAAACCCACTCTTACACTCGACTCCCCTTTCCTGACCAACTGCCGCAACAGTAAACAACGCGATTTTATTTTATTTTTGTTTTCTGTGCGTCAGATATGAATAAGTTTTTTCCTTTACCATGTGAAGGTAATGCTGCCATATGAAGGAGAAAAGATGTCGGAATAGAGGGATCTGAGGACGTCGTTTTCCACTTTTCAGTTATAGTAACTGTGCAGTGTATAGATAAAAATTAATCATGCGAATATATTACTTGGATATTTATCTATAAGCACGCAACATACCTTTTGTATCAAATTACTGTAACATATTTAATTATTTTTTCCCCTCAGAAGGTCACAGTAACGGGTTAGCGCTGCCCCTTGAACATGCCCTTCAAAAAGAGTTAATTTTGCATATGTTGATAGTGGTTTAGATAGGCATGCGCGCCATTTCGATATTCTGTATTCGGAATTCAGTGAATGTTGGACATATCTAGTCCTGCGGACGAGACAGAAACAATGTTACAGAGGGAAGGCACTGCATACATGTCTATCTCCCCCCAGTCTTTGCCGGCCGGGAACAAAGACTTACATAGATTGGCATAGATTGAAGGGTGCCGTAACGAAACGACGCCGAAAGGCCAAACGACGGGTCGCATTCACGGGAGCGCGAACAAACAAATAGCCCAGGGGGCAACAAAACACAGCTTCTAGGCAACCAGAACGAGTGGACCGGCTGGAAAACGAGCCGGGACAACGATCAAACACTAAACGCGGAACATATCCGAACATCGCAAACAACTGCCGAGTTTGACAATGATAGGGAGTCAGTGGCACAGTCAGCGCGTGAAATTGGGGTCGCGATAGCGGATCGGCATTTGGCGCGGGCGATCACTGCGACGGGGACGGTCGGGTTCAGTATCTCTCAGCGGCTGCGAGCCTGGCGCGGCAGGGGGCGGCATGGCCGGCGGCGACGGCGTGGCATGACCGGGCGACAACGCATGCGGGGACACGCGATGTGGTGGTGAAGTCGACATGGACGGTGACGGCGTCACACACTGTGGGGACACAAGGGGCGGCGACGCATCTCGCTCGCGCGGGGATAACACCACAGGCGGCGATGGCGCGGGTGGACGCGGTGTCGGGGGCCTGCCACGGGGCGCCCGCGGCGGCGTCGCCGGCATCTGGCCGACCACTGGAGTCGGAGAGCCGGGGGGTTGCGCCGCAGGTGGAGAAGTGGGTGGCGTCAGTCCAGAGTTCGCGTGCGACTGTGACACGCGTGTTGGATGTCGGCGGAAGTCGTCGAGCAGTTCGTCCATTCGGGTGTGCTGACGACGAGCCGGAACAACCGGAGTGTATTTGCGCAGGAACTGCCTGTTGCGCAATGTCATTCGGCCGCTGCCGTCGACCCGGACCATGTACTGGTTATGTTGTCGCACCTCCACGACGCGGCCAGTTTTGTCCCACTTCCTGGGATATCTTCCGATTTGGTTTTGGAGGCGGACGGCATCACCGACGGTCAGTGGAGGTAGTCGCCTCGTATGTGCGGACCAGCGTTCGTGGTCCCGCATGTGGCGGTTCCGGAGTGCCTCCTCACGAGCACTCAGGGTTTCGCGCCACGTGGGATGAGGACGGTACTGACCGGGGGGTATCGGGATGAAGTCTCGCACCGGACGACCGAACACGCATTGGGCCGGCGACAGCCCTGTCGTGGGGTCGGGAGTGTTGCGGTAGTTCAGCATGGCGCGCTGGAAGCGTCGCACGTTCAGTTCCCCGTTGTCACCTGTGTTGCCTTCGATCATGCGTTTGACGGTTTTGACGCCAACCTCAGCGCGACAGTTCGCGTGTGGGAATGCCACAGAGGAGCGGCGGTGACGAACACCGTAGTCGGCCAGAAACGCCTGTGTCTCGTGGGCAGTGAACTCCGGCCCGCCATCGCTCGTCAGCTCCTCAGCGATGCCAAATGTGCTGAAGACGCGGTAGAGACAGTCTCGGAGGCCTGCGCTGCCATCT